AGGAAAAGCTCTTTGTAAATCACCTGAGACATTGAAGCCCTGTGGATCCACACACCGAACCTGAGAAGGTGAGACTATTGAAGTAGTCGCCAGGAGGGCCCAGTCATACCTTCTGAGAAGGTATGCGGATCCATAGAGAAGAGAATCGCACATCGTCGAACCATGCCTTCCGATCTCTTACCATCCTGTTGGAAGTCGAAAAACAGAGCTCATGGACTTGGAAACCATGGCCAAAACATCCCCAAATCTATCGTCCTGCAAATGCTCCCTTCAACCAATTCAAGGGAATCATCTGGCAAATCTTTTCACCAACCCGTGCCCCAAACACGCTAGCCCAAAGAGGTTGAACAGCCCTATAGCCTATCCCATATGTACTGTATACAGGGCCCCAGTTCAGGTCTCTCAACCTCTCTTGGCCGCCCTCCTTCGGCGCCCGGACGGCTCCAGCCACGCCTGGGGGAGGACCGAGTTTCGGCGACCGCAGCTTCCTAACCCAGGCACTCCATACCAGCACCCCTCCAGCAGATGCTTCCTGATGTTTCCTGTTTCCGGGGGTGACAAGTCTGGTGCCCAGGTTCACCACCTGTGGTCCCAAAACAGCCTGGCCAGGAGGGTCCTCAGGGAGAACCCCAGAATCGCTTTGGTATGTTTTCCTTCTTCCAGGGCGCTGCAATGCCTGGGAGGTCTCCATCTTTACTCCTTCTAGGTGGGTCCAAGCCCCAAGCCCTAACACCTCCTCCTGGGAGTATGTCCGGAGAAAGGGATGCATCCAGACCCAAACACTCCATGTAGTATATGGAATATCTACATACATTGGAGTGGTTGAAAGGGTAAAAATCTAGGTCAATATGTCAGCGTCCGGGCCAAAGAACCCAAGATTTGAAGGGAGATTTGATCCCCATGATCTACCTGGAGCGACCTTGATTTGGGATCACCACCCCCAACTTCTGGTCTTTTCTGTTCAAACAGGGGTCATGTTTGGGTTATTCTGGGTCGAGGTATGTCGAGGTATGTATTTGCTTAACTTTTTGGACCTAGAAAAGTATGTTAATAATTTGGGCTTCGATTTCTATGCAGTTGTCTGACCAGAAATTGGCGGGTGGCTTCCACCAGATTTCGTCCAACTTGGCTCTTCAAAGGTTGAAGGTGGGGATAACAACCCAGCAGAAACAGGCAACCCAGTCCCAATCAGAAAAAAGTCTGGATGTTTCCCAAGTTCTAGCCACCCCCCCTATGTTTTCAGGATCTCAAGAATGCCATACTGGGTTCCAACCAGAACTGTTTCTGGTTGAGACTGGGACACCCCAGCAATGATGGAGTTGGTCGGTTCTCTCCTGTCCCTCAGAACCAACGCCATGCCATCGACGTAACCATGTGATCGGAGCCAAGATGGCCAAGTATATCTACCAAGAGAGGTTGAACAGCCTTATAGCCCATCCCATACGTACCACTATGCGGTCCTATTCAGGTCTCTCAACCTCTCTTGGTAGTCTTGCCAAGCTGTACTGGCTCAAAAAGGGCCTGAACACATCAAAAGGGTGAGTTGCGACACGGTTGGTCGAGAAAGCCGCAGAGCCCTATGGTCAACCACTCCATGCCAATTCGCGTATAGTCTTAGGTGCAAAATGCACAACTAGCCGCTGTCAACCCCCCCCGACCCTAAATAATGAAACACATCATTTCAATCTAACTTCACATCATGGCACGAAGCAACAGAAAAGCTGTTTATGTCCGCGTCTTTCTTCCCAGCTTTTCAGAAAACACCCTGGTGTAGGGCCTCAGGATCCGTAAGCCAGGAGAGGAACCGCCAAAGCATCACTTGCGCACGAAAGGCCTGGCGCGGCATCGACCGCCGACGATGGCCGACGCTCCATGGGATTGGAATAGTTGCAAACATGTACCTCATTAAAATGACCCATCCATCTACCAGGGTCATCCTGTCTGGGTGTCCTGGCTAGACCACCCTATACCCTACGTAAACAGGTCTCCTACTCCAGGGCACCCGGACAGGAAGTGCTAGGTATAGGTCATTCATGGTCATTATTCGATACATGCTGGCCAGCATGGAGTGTCACTTCCATGTCTTCTTGGGCTCTGCTCGTGTCCACTCAGCCGAAGCCCCGGAAACGGAGCGTCGCTGGCCGAGCTGAGGCAAGCACCAGACCATAAAAGCATCGCCGGGCCCCATGCTGGATGGAACAACCATCAAAAGCCACCACCTCAAACCAGAGCCCCCTACGGGGTGTCTAAGTATAGCTCCTTAGAGGTGATTCGGGGTGTCCATTAACCCCTTTTAGGGGGGCTCTGGAATAGGTCAAGAGATGTTAAGACCCACGGTAGGTCACGGTGCCTTGGGTGGTTGGAAGGTGTCATTTCCTCCATGCGCTCATCCTCCTCCATCCGACCCCCAAACTTCTTGAACAGCTGGGGCATCCGACCCCGATCTCCAACCAGCTGTCACAGTCAACAGCTGGAGCGTATTTCCAACCAGCTGGGGCTCCGCACCACGGCCTGCCGCATGGAATGAACGGAGAGCAACAGGGGCCGGAGCCAGTAGCGTTCCTGCGAGCGAAACGCAAGCAACGGGAGTGGCATGATTGATCCATCAGTTGATGGCCGAAAGAGGTGACCATGTACATGGATGACATGGGTCAAAGACCTGGGTGTTCAATGGACACCTACGTGTTGTCTGGGATAGTCCACCCATTACTTACACCCCAAGTCCGGTATACCTTGGATCGAAAGTGCTCCAGCCACTGAAGCTATAGATCCATACTCCCGAAAGCACAAGTTCACCAAATGTCAAAATTACTTTACTTCGAGTGATCCCCACCATGACATTCAATCTGCCATTCTATCTGGCAATCTATCTGACATACTATCTGACATACTGTCTGGCATGCTATCTGGCATTTTGTCTGGCATACTATCTGTCATTCTATCTGGCATATCTTCTGGCATTCTATCTGGCAATGTATCTAGCAATCTATCTGACACACTATTTGGCATATCTTCTTGCAGCATTCTATCTGGCAATCAACCTGCCATTCTATCTGGCATTTTATCTGGCAAACTATCTGGCATACTGTCTGGCATACTATCTGGCATTTTGTCTGGCATACTATCTGTCAATCTGGCATATCTTCTGGCATTCTATCTGGCATAGTTTCTGGCATTCTATCTGGCAATGTATCTAGCAATCTATCTGACACACTATTTGGCATACTATCTGGCATATCTTCTTGCAGCATTCTATCTGGCAATCTACCTGGCATTCTATGTGGCATTTTTTTCTGGCAAACTATCTGGTTGAGGTCCAGCGGTGCACACTGCGAGGGGATCCTTGCGGTTGAGGTCCAGGGGTGCACAACGCGCTCGGATCCTTGCGGTTGAGGTCCAGGGGTGCACACTGCGATCGGATCCTTGCGGTTGAGGTCCAGGGATGCACACTGCGATCGGATCCTTGCGGTTGAGGTCCAGGTGTGCACACTGCGAGGGGATCCTTGCGGTTGAGGTCCAGGGGTGCACACTGCGATCCGGAGCTGGCCAGACAAGATCGGCGAAGCAGATTGGCGATGAAGATTGGCGAGGAAGGAAGCAAGGAGGAAGGAGGAAGGAAGGAGGAGGAAGAACAACTGTGATAAAATCTAACAACCCTCACCTGGCAGGTGGTGAAAAAGAAGAGTTGCGACCTCCTCAAACCTCCTGAAGAAATCCCACACCTCCCTTGGCGCCTTAGCCCTTTTTCTCGCCGCGCGCAAAGACGGCCGCGCGCCAACGGCTTCGATCCGAACTCACGTCTTCGGCATCTGGACGCTCGGACGCTCCAACGACAAGGGGAAAGGCCATCCCAAAGGCCACGAAAAGGCGGTCGACGGTTCGATCAGGACAGCTGGTCGTTCGTTCGCTGCAGTGCACCGAAAGGGTGGGCGGGTTCTGTCCGGAGAATCAACACGGGCTGGCCAAACAGGTGCAACGTGCGGAGGGCTGCGAAAATCCAACACGGAGGGCTGCGAAAGAACATGGAGGAGTGACGGAGGGTTGTGGTGATGTGCTGACGTGCGAGCCATGCTGACGGTGCCTTTCGTGTGTCTTCTTTTTTTCCGCTGTAGGGCAGTACCCCAACACTCCATGTATGGAATATATGCCTACATTGACCCCCCTGGCACCACCCCAACTGATCGGCAGTCCTATGGTAGTCCCATTGGTCGCGTTTTGGGGGTAGGGTGGTGCTTAGGGTGGTGCTTGTGAAGTTGGTCTCACCCTTCCGTCTTAGCTTCGACCGCTCAGACGGACAGGCTTGGGACGATCCCGAGCACCTTCGTCCCCTGCCAGGTCTGTGGGGTGTCTTCGGCCGCAGCCAAGAACGCTCGAATCAAAGCGCGGCCTTTTGCGAGGTATTTCTCTTGGCGTGATATACATATAAAGGATATCGTCATCCTCAAGTAGGTGGGCATCACAGCAATGAGCATTCAAGTTTCAAGTATATTCAAGTTAATTTGTATTATATGACACCTACCAGCACCTTCAAAGGGGTTACCAATGGAAGCCCCTACCCTACTTAGGGACTTCCATTGGACACCCTTGAAGGTCCAGGTGCGAGTACCTTTTTGGATGCAGTCTCCTCTGTGTTCGAACAATCTATGCTTGCGTCATCTTGACATCAATGAATGTTGGGTGTGGCGTGGTTAGAGGCGGTGCATGTTCTCCAACCGCTTTGACCCCAAAAAAGCCTCCCAAGGGATAGTCTGTCCATCGGAATCATGGTATAACCAAGCAGCACTTGTTGAAAGAACACCAAGGAGTACTATGTCCGCTTGCCCAAGTTCGTCCGGAGCACGGAACTCATCCATACCCAAAACACACTCATGAAGGAACATAATTACATAATAATATATATTATATATATATTATATCAGCTGGTTGAACAGGAGTGAAAGGTAACTCCATGTAAATCCTGACTCGGAGCGGCCGTGTGTTCATTTACTTCTTTTCCTTTTTTCGGAGCCCAGTGGTGGGCGCGCAACCACGCTTCACAGGGCTTGGTCCACAAATCCACCATCCTTGGGAGAGGGTGATAGATGGAAGACTGACCTTCAAACCGGTCGCACAAAGTGCTTTGCCAGCGGTGAGCAGTGGTGGCACATCCCAATTGGACATGTGATCTTTCTTAAGATTTCAAGTGCGGCTAGGCTCCCTATTGTAGGATAGGGGGTCCAAAGATATAGGTCAAAAGCGGCCCCTCCAATCACCATGACCCAAGAATCCTTCGAACCCATAGCAGGGGTCAACGAAGGACCCTCTTGAGGCCTTGTCAATTTGGAGAATTATGCAAAACCTCCGGAGGCCTCCAGGTCCTGGTCCTCCAGTGTCCTTCTCCACTACTCGCACTACTTGCAACTTCCTGTACCGAGGTTCCCATGCCCATGCGATCCCATCTTCGCCAGCACCACCTCCACTGGCACCCGGCACCGCCGGCCTAAGAGCGCTGTGCATGTGTGCATGCTGCGCGGCGCTGCGCGCGGTGCAGCCGAAGTGGGCCGAACGACCCAGGCGGGCGATGGAACAACACCGAGCGGTGGCCTCTTTTGGGGGGGGTCGATTCGATGACTCCCTGATTTAGCGGATCAACATCCAGGGGGAGTCTCTATGAACTACCTATAGCGATTGGGTGGAGAATGGCCTCTGTCAGAATGCAGCAGTTTATACCGATTTATACCTGAAAGATCCCCCTTGACTGGGGCAACATCCTGCCAGAACTCCATCTTATAGAGAATACCGTCTATAAAATGATATGACCATCATATTTCTCTATAAAATGAAGAACCAACCTTTCTATAAAATGGATAGCCATGTCCAGGCCCATCCACGACAAAGAGGTTAGAGGCCAAGCCTGGGATCTTTTTTAGATGGGTTGACCTTGAGTTGATATCCTCATATCATTTGAAGCAGCTGACTTCTATAAAATGACTTTGCCACAGCAGGTTTGGTCAGCGTATGCTTCACTTTTCATGTTTTATCTCTATCCTTTTTGTTCGTCGCTCCTGCAGTCTTCTTCTTAGAACCATCCATATGTTTTTTTTGTTTTTATTGTTAGTTGTTTTCTTAACAACATATAACAAAATGTTCTCCAGTCTGATTTGTCCAGGCTTGCGTCTTCGAGCCAGCGAAACAATATCACCCAAAGCAGGCAACTGTTTTGAGCATTTTGTCTAAGACATCTGTGTAAAACCATATGTTCTCTATAAAATGGATATGCTCCTGAATGAGAGGCATTCATCTGCCGACACGTGTCTCTTTCTTAAAATGCATTGCCTCTCTCTGTCATGGTCCTTTCCACCAATCCCCCCCCTCTACTCTATGAAATGATGTTGCCTCCTCTTATGTCCGTTATCGGAACGGACCATTTCTATAAAGTGAACCTCCTTATCCCATTTCATAGTGGAAACAGATGCTCATTTTATAGAGGACCAATCATGGGGGATCCTGAAAGTACAGTTCCAGATCTTAGATTCGATCGTCCTAAAGCGCGTGCTTCGTTTCTATTTTTCGGCTTTGCCATTCTCGCCCAAACAATGAATCACAGTCGCTCAAATCAAAGTGGTGTGCCTCTGAGGATTTAAACAACTGTGCAATCTGAAACAGATGTGGGTGAAACCTGGCGAAGCATGAGTATTGCAGCCGCAACCCCACCCAAACTATATATGGAATGATTGGACTACTGCAACCCTAGCTAACCATCATTGGACCCTCCGAACTGGAGGGTTTTGACCCTGGTCTAGCAGGGGATGGACCCTGAAAACCTTCACCGAGCAGAGGGTCCTGGATTCTGAGTGACAATTCTATCTTTGGATTTCTCAGTTTTCACCCACCAAATGGGCAACTGGTTTGGATCGATCAATCTTGGAGAACGTCCCCATCTGTAATATTATGTTTGAGAAAGGTGTATAACTGTAAAATGGAAGCAGCAATGATACCTCTAGTCAAGTCATCCTCTAACTCATGAAGTTCATGGTGGACTTCATGAGCAATTCCTCCCAAAATTGGTCTTATTCTTCAACAACCACTTCCCCCCCGCAATGCAGACCACATGGACCCTTTTCAAATTGACCCGTGGTTTGCTTCCCATGTTCTGAAGACCAATCCGGCCGCGCTTTTGGAGTTCCATGTGGGTCAGCCAGATTATATAACGATAAGCATACATGGAGTAGATATATGAACCAGTTTTAAACATAATATAAAAACTGAGCTTTCCATTACATGTGTTGGGAATTTTTTACCATCTTCTACCCACTTCCCAGACATGACGATCTTTCTTGGAGGCAAGCCATGAACTCCCAACGCCTGCTTCACACTGGAACCGACCCAGCCCGTTCGTCCACGTGACAGGCGTCCACGTAGGGCCGCGTGTTCTCCTCCTGTGCCCGGAGACACGCTCGGCCCTAAGCTCACAGACCCGGACGGCTGGAGCCGCCGTGTCTTCGTTTTGGTGGGACGTTTGGGTGGGCCTTCTTTGGAGGTTACTTGGAGCCCTAGAGGTCAACTGGTACCCAGTCGCTGGTCGTACGGGTGCAGTGATGAACTGACACCCTATCGTGATGGATCCTCTGTAGTATAAGTTCACCTTCGTTGATAGTGCAATGAAATTGTTTCGACCCAAATACCTAAGAAACAACAAGAAAGCCTTTCTGACCCACATCTACTCCTTCAATCGCTGTAGCATTGTGTAAGAGAGTGGGACATTGTGAAAACATGGGGAGAGCCGTGTTTTAAATTGTTTGCCCTTGTTCTCTCAGCGCTTGTGATTTGACAACTGAATGGTCTACAAGTACAACACTAGCCTCCACAACCTGCCACCCTGGAGAGAAAAGTGGATTGTTTCCGGACCAATGGCACAGAGCCCAATGTCGTTGGTTCATATCTATGAACTCCATCTAAAAGACCTCTTGGGGGTTGTGCGGTCCAACCTCCCTGAAGCGTAATGATATCCCCATTGGTCTTCTTCGGCCCAAGCGTCGTAGGAGGCGATCTCATCCTCCGTGCTCACGGCCGCAAACAATGGAGGCGTCTGGGCATTCACCGCTTTCACCGTGTTGAAGTCAATGCCCGGGTAGCCCAAACGTGTGAGCCATGGATCCCAAGCAGGCGTTTCCTGGCCGAAGCTCATCGTCTCTCATGGAGGAGACCTGGAAGAGACCCCACAGGGGAAGCTGAAAACCACTGGGTTGTAGAGGAAATCCGCCTTCCAAAGCGTTAATCTGCCTGCATCTCTCATTTCCAGGGCCGCGGATGATTCCGACGTCTCAAAACTTGTGCATATAATATTATATTACGTAATCTTTTACCGACTGTTACTGGTAATGGAACATACTCTACCAACAGGTGAGAGGGGATGAACAACTGTGAGCTGGCAAATGGGTCTCGTGTCAAGAAAAAGAGCCTGCCCTGGGCAGGTAAGGCAGTTGCAGCCCAAGCACCACATCAGTCGAGCCATAAATGAGGATATGAAAGGCCAGCAAATGCCTCAAGATTCCAAAACGAACGCAAGGAATCGATCCAACGGTGTGGGTTCACCGTGTTCTTTGGGAGTCAGTGTCACCCAAAAACCTTGGCCTCCACGCGTGCCGGCGTCACACGTCGTTGCGGGGATCACGAAGACGGGAGGTGTTGATGCCGACGTCACCTCCGAGTGAGACTGACCTCCATGTTCCAGGAGGCCGATCTTACCTACACTCATGGAGAAAATTGTCCTCCAAGGAGCCATTTTCCACTTCCACGTTAGTGCTCCAGGGTCCCAGTTCCGGTCTCTCAACCTCTCTTGCTTTCAAACAGATTTACTAGATGCACCATTGTTGAAGAAGGTCTTGCAGCATCTTAGCAGCCCTCCCCTGAAATCAGCTCGAGGATCCGCCCAGTAGATGGGCATGGGGTTCCCACCATGTTGCAGGACTTCTTCTTTGAGGAGCCACCTACAGAAAAAAGGTCCGGGAACAGTCTCACCAAGTTTGAAGGCTTCACCTTGTCATTTACCTATTCCAGGTGAATATCCCAAGCACTCCATGTGTGGAATAGTTACCTACAAAAAAGTCATGGTTTTCATGCATATACATGTATATACGCAAGTAGTCCAGTCGGATGGTCTAGGTATCGAAGCATCCTTTAAGACTGCCCACAGGATTCCCATAGACTTACGCCCTGGAATATTAACATGGAACCTGAAAAATTGAACTTTGGAAGACGTTGGAAGAGTATTTTCCTCTACAACCCTGTGGTTTTCAGGTTCCATGTTAATTCTCTAAGGAGTAAGTCTCTCCACCTCTCTTGGCTTCTGCCAATGCACAGACCCCGGCTTCGACCTCCCCAACCGGCGTGACGTTCGTTCGACGGAGGAGAGCCCAGGGGCGGGTGGTGAGTGGCGAGCACCGAGGCCAGATGTCCTCCGGCAGAGAAGCCCAACACACCGATCCTCAGAACCCAGACACGACCCATGGGACTGCCATCTATGCCGCCCCATTGACCCCCCTGGCACCACCCCAATTGATCGGTAAATATGGCAGTCCCATGGAGTCTCTGGGGAATACCTTTTTTGTTCCACGGAACGTGTTCCAAGCAAGCTGCCTAAGCTTAATTAAGAGTGATGTTATCATGCACTGGGATCAGAAGAAAACACATGGACAGCACTGATATTTCCATGGGGGTCCAGAATGATTTTTGGGCGTTGAAGTATAAGTCTCGTGAGTCTAGGGGAAAGATCTTAGAGAGATCTTGAAATCTGACTGTCAACCATCCAATGCATGAAGTGAAAACCCAAGGGAGTTCAAACACAATATCCGGTTTTGCATCACGGAATTTAAACAAAATAAGAGTCAGTGATAAACCAATGTTTTTTTTCTCGCAAAAATCCACCAAACCTTAGCTACCAAAAATATTACTAAAATATGTGTGCAATGTGAACTCATACAGCAACAGTTAACCTTTAAACACACAAATTCCGCATTACATCGTGTAAGTGGGTGTCCGAATGAGTTTGTCTGCAACTGCTGCAACTACCAATGTCCACATCCATCGCCAGTGGAAGACATGGTGTTCCTTGACTCCATACTGGTAGTGAGTCCTGGTCCCAGGCGGTTTCCATGAAAAACAACACCTGCAGTGTGTGTTTACGGGTTTAACGGTTAACGAAAACCACGGTTATGTGTTTTTCTGGACACCCTGCAGTTAAATTTGTGAAAGGTGATGTGCACAGCCCTTAAGGTGCACGCGTCATGCCACAAGAGGTAGTCTGGAAGTGACTATGCTCAGTGGTATGGGTGGGCAAAGGTTCACGAACCGCAACATTAAAAGGACACCAAAAACCACCAAATCACCAGGATCACATCCACCAAATAGTCAATAGTCCACTTTCTTCCAAGCTTCGGCCGTTTTGCCACCTCCTCGCCGATGAGGCGCAACGCCTCCAAGCCATCCTCCAGCTGTGCCGGCCAGAAATGTCCCTCTGTCCGGAGCCGAAAGCCTCACGGCGGCCGCTGTCCGGTCGCTGGAACGAGGTGGGCTTCGGACCGATTGGTGGTGGGCACGGAACGGAGCTCGGCGGTGGGGTGAAAACCATGTCGGAGTGGCCAGCTGTTGTCACATGTGGCCGCAGGTGTGGTTCAAGAACAGCTGTCAGTACAAGACTTACCTCAGTCTAGAACTAGAAACACATGTTCAGCAAAAAACGATAACAACCGATTCAATGTGCCATTGCCGGCCACTAAGTGATACTAAATGCCCTGAACAAATTGAAACCTTCTCCCCCAAAAAACTCCATGTACCGCAACCTCTAACAGGCCGGTCACCTGTAGAGTCGGGTGCTTGAATGGAATTAGCTAATTGCATGAATGGATGGGTCATTTTCATGGAGTAGATATGAGCACATACGTATTTAACTGTTCCACTCCCATGGATGGCCTGGAAATTTTATCCTGAATATACATTAAGAGAGGTAATAGAATACCCGCACCACCATGGGGGGTTACAACTGATACTCCCGCCACCATCTAGACCCTTTGACCTCCCAGAAGCTATTTATTTTATGGACACCCCTTGGAGGGTCCTGGTAGTGATTCCAGTGGTGCGTCTTTTGGGGGAAAAGATGAGCCTTTCAAGGCCTTAACCACGATGCTTTGGAGGTCCCCAAAAAACAGCTGAAACCTCACTTCTAGGGACGTCCTTCTCTTTAGGTCCTTTCTTCCAAAAGTCCCACACACACGTCGTCCCTTCGCTTCGCTTCGCTTTCGCTCGTCCGTTCGCTCCGCTCGTCCGTTCGCTCCGCTTTCGCTTGCCCGGGAGCGTAAGATGTAGGCCGCGAGGCCCAAGCTTTGGAGCCAAAGCGCCACCTCCAAAGGACCCCTGACGTCGAGTAGCGAGTTGGCTTCGCTGCGAATGAGCTGGGATGGGCGGAGGGCTGGCCAGCTGTGGCCCATCGGTTTTTGGAAAAGAGTGGAGGTTGGATGTTTCACCTAGCTCCTTAGAGGTTAAGAGGTATCCATTAACCACCCCTTAGGGGGCCTGGTATAGACCTCTACCCTGGAAGTCAAGTCGACTACTTTTAAAATGGGAAGGATCTGGTTTTGTAGTGTAAAACCCTTAGTAAAACAATGGTTGCTCGGTAAAGACTATTAAAACCATGGTGGTTCGACTTCCAGGGTCTATACACGGAACCGGAAAAATTTCGGGGTCCAGAACCGGGAAAGCCACACGCGTTCTCGGGGTGGGTGGGTTAGGGGGAGCATTCTTCAGATCTTCACGTCCGGATCCGGCTCACCGGTTCCCCCCCGGCACCGCGCGTGGTGGTTTCGACCGAAGTGGGGTTTCCACCTCGCTGCGACCGGCCTCAAGTTGCAGTTGTCCTCGGTGAGGCTTGCGAGAAGTGAGGGATCGAAGAGGGTGTTTTTTTTGGGTGGGGTACCCAGTGCCATGCCCATCGCCTTCATCAATGCCATCCATGGTTCCAGTGCCGAACTTGAAGGAAGTCGGGGTGCCGAACTTGTCAGATCCACTCACCCAACTCCATGTGACTCCTGATGCTTCTGCGCTGCCATCGTCAGACATGATCCTCATCCAAAGAGTTAACATACCAGCACCTTCCGCACTCGGTGTCACCTGGCTGAAAGTCCACACCGGCCCAGCCCACTACTAGACTGGATCTCCAGCCAGGGCACCCTGTGGAAGGTCCAGGTATGTTAACATGTACCTAACATGAACTGTTGACATCTAAGTCCCAGACACTCCATGGGACTGCCATATATACCATACCTATACATTGGGGTGGTGCCAGGGGGGGTCAATGGGGCGGCATAGATGGCAGTCCCATGGAGTGTATGGGAGTGGCATTGCAGGCCCCCCATGTCCCTGATTAAACTAGCTGATCGGGGTTGCAGGGGAGCTCCAGGAGCAGCTTGGAACGGCTCGGCTGCCGTAGCTGGGTGATAACCCCCCCCCGGCTTCATAGTAAACGCCTCCTCCAGCTCGCAACAGCCAGAATGGCCAGGGGAAGTGATTCCCGGCCTTAAGTTGGTTGCATCAGCTTGCATCCCCAGGGATCCAAGTACCTTCTCAGAGAGTATGTGGATCCCTGGGGCATTAAATACATGGACAACACAAGCTCTTCCAGATCGGAACCACCAAGAAGCCATCAGTCCCTGATGACATCGCGTGCCACCCACCGGTGGGAGACAAGATGAGAGACAGAAGGCGGACACAAGAAGACCAACAAGAAGAGAGACAACAAGGGAAACAAAAGGAGGATTCACTTGCATATGACCAACAATAAGATTGTCCAAAAAGAAACACCAAGCGTCACCAGCACCAGTCTGCACTGACAGTCATCCCGCTCACAGTCATTCCGCTCAGTCTTCCCCCAGCTAGCTCACCAAGTCTCATAGTTCCCTCCCGGCAAAATCAGCACCGCAGCCCTTGCCGCTCCACGTGCCGCTTCAGCACCAGCAACCAGCACGAGCTGCGCCGGGTCCACACGGGCATCGGCGCGGGGGCGCAGGGGGCGCACCTGGGGCGGAACTGCAGGAGGACGTCGGTCCTGTGCGACGGTGGCGCGGCGCCGTGTCACCTGTCGAAGTGATGGTCGAAGACTTCTTAAGAATCACGGAAAGGTGTATGATCACGGAAAGGTGGAAAGACTCTAAGACACTAAGACTCTAAGTCACTCTAAGACTCTAAGACTCTAAGTCATGTTGCAATCATTCCTGATCTGAGATGATTTCTGGGTATTTCAGTTTCAGTGCTTCGAAGCATTCTTGGTGAGCTTTGAAGCAAATGTTGCATCATTAGATCAGTGTGAGGTCATAAGTTTTCACACGCTCGACACTCAAGGTCACAAACCACGGGGCAACCATCCCTCTTGAAAGGGGGAGCTCTACAGAACTCAAAAGATATCATGATATGGCACCATTCAGGATCTCGCGTGGCGCGAATCCCAACGACTGTTTCTGGTCCAAATGTGCACACAAGTTTTTTTTGGGGGAGAGGCTCCTCTGTATCGAGAGGCGTCATCTCCTGTCATTTCATGTCCTCTCCGCGATACCCCTTCCCTTTGCCACTTCCAGGGCCTCCGGTCGAATGTGAACCACCTGCATCAGGGCACAGAGTCGACTGTTGCACGACTCGACGAAGGCGACCGCACCGACCACGGCGCCATACGGTGCCCTGGGGAGGATCCAGGCTGGTTGACATGTGCAAGTCATCTTTGGCGCACACCTGGCTTAAAGCACATGCAGGCTGCAAGAAGTTGGCAGCGCCGCAGCTTGGGCAAGAAGGGGCAAACATTTGTAATCCTATTCCAAGAGCCGACATGAATCTTGCACCAGTCACAATATGAATCTGCATGAAGGTCTGAACCTGGTGGATACTTGGCCACACGGATAGCCTCCTTACCCAGCGTCAAACACATGTGAAGACTCTCCCTTTTTGGAGTTTGCCATGCATTTGTTGTGATCTTCTCCACCCAACAGCTGACCCACCGATCCTTCCAATGTCAAAGCCAGAGACGCGCCTGCCGCTTCCCCTTTCCTTGCGCTTCGACCCGCTTCGACGACGTTTGGGGCGTTGAACGGAGATCCCACTCCGATGGACACCGCAAAACGACGGACGCCCATCTTCCAGACCTGGTCGACCGGGACACCGCCCAGGAACAGGCTGGGAACAGGCTGAAGAGCCAAAAGGGAGAAAGGGGTGGTCAATGGATGATAGGGATGCCTCTGACCCGGCCACCTATTGGAACTTCCCTGTCTGGAACCCCAAACAACCAGAAACAAATGGTTGTTCCAATATGGCAATTGAAATCCTTTACATAGCAAATGGTTGTTTGGGGAAACATCAATTTCTTTCTGGTTGTTTGGGGTTCCAGGTGGGGCTCCAACCACATGTTGAGAGGGTGGTTGGGTGAGGTGCCAGGGGAGTCTAACTACCTTCGAAAACAATGTAGTTGGAGCCCCGGGTTCAGGACGATTTTGGGAACCCAACCTCAAACTGCGAGCAGCGAAGCCAGCCTCGAGACTCACTCGAAGTCTGTTCGACAGTGGTCACCCGAACCAAGAACTTGACAAAAAGGCCAATGATAGATAAATATATATATATATATATATGTACTTACCTAGAGACCGCTTGACCTCTGATCAGAAAAAGGCCCGAATTATGCGAATTATGTAAGGTGGTTCGTAATCCAAAATAGAGGTCATTCAGATTCTAGGCAAGCACACTGAGCACCTCTTTCCCTCGCTCCTAGCTGCCTCAAGCCTGACACGTATGATACATGTTTCATTTGGATGCTTCAGTAGGTCAATCCATTCCCATGCAGCGTCTGGGCAACACTTCATTATGCCGTAGTACCAATGTACCCAAGTAGGATCACACAACCTCTCTTGGAATGTCCCATTTGGATCCAATTGTTGGTGCTTCAATCCCCCGCCATGCACGCCACTTCGATCGCCAAGTTGCCCTTCTTCGCCCGCGGCGCCTCTGCCACCGCCGCCTCGACGTCGACCGGTGCGGGCGGCGGTGGCGGTGGCGGCGCGGGCCGCGCGGCACGGCGGAGCGTGAAGAGGAAGAGAAGCAGCTGCAGCGCGAGAAGGCACCAGGAGAGCTCTAACATGGCGGGGCAAATCCAGCAGCAGCTTGGAATGATAGTTGATCGTAGTTATTGCATATTATTGCCTTCTACTTGGTCGATCTATCCCGGTGTTTGAAAACGAATCCTATCGATCTGAATGGATGATGGAGAGGCGACATCGAAGGCTTTCGGAGTTCGCATCCCATCTACCAGGACCTTCCAAGAGGTATCTGTAAATAGCAGCCTCGTAAAGAGGTGATTCCGGAGTATCCCAAACACCACCAGGCCATTTCGTGTCAGGTCCTGGTTTTTCGTGTCGGACCTGCTGCGTCGGACTGCTACCCGTCAGTCCGTGCGAGGACTGGTGCGCTTCGGCCCAAGATCCGGTACATGTGATGGAAGAACATAGCATGTGACCGGCCAATCCAGGCCAATCCCGTGGATCAAGTCGGCATAACGGCCAAACAACTTCTTCTCTCTCTCTCTCTCTCTCTCTGTCTCTCTCTGTCTCTCTCTCTCTCTCTCTCCTCTCTCTCTCTAACTCGTCCTGGAGACGTCTCTGTGTGAGACGCCCAGTTCTGCAACATTCCCCTACAGGCTAAACATTTGTTGGCGATTTGGGAAACCATGTGGAAATCGTTGCCGTCCTCACCGCTCCAGGGGCTGCTCCACTTGAAAGAACTCGACTCACGAGCACAGAAGGCACTCATGATCACTGAGCATCTGATTTGGAGGTCAGGTAGGCTCTTGATAAACCACCTCAATTTGGACATCCTCGTCATATGGAGGGTGAAATATGGTGAAACATCACCAAGAGCCTATACATTAGGAACATATACCGTCCTTCAAACAAAGGCGACGCTCGGTGACGCTGGAAACCTGAGGTGAAGTCTTTTTGTGCTGAAAGTGGTGCAGGTTGACACCGTCTTCTTGGGTCATCTCCTCCGTCACCATGGATTTCATCGTCTTAATCTCCACCGCGGCAGGTTGTCCATGCGTCGCCTGCGCGTTTGGCGACGTCAGGCCAGGATGTCGAAACATGCGATCCAGGATGTAGATGGTTCCCGGATTTGTCTCAAAATCCGGCCTTAGAGTTTGGCCGAGTTGACTGTGGAGTCGTAGGAGTGTGGCAAGCGTCATCTTGTTTCAAGATCTTGACCAGCAAGTTGCCCTAGAAAGCACCATACCGGCGAACCCCATTTGGATCATTCAATCGACAATCACAAGATGCAGTTCTATGCAGTTCTGCAAAAACACCAGCAGCACTGACCATTCCAACTTTCCATCACCAATCACTCAACAAAAAAAGTAACAAATTTTCCGGCAAGAGACCCCAAACAGTGTGTGTGTGTGAGGTAAGAACCCCCAAGTGTGTCCACACTGTTTGGGGAAGAACTCCCCCCTTCGTCAGCTGCCCTTCCTGCCCTTCTCGGCCTCTTGCTGCCGTGCCTTCGTGAGTTGCGCGTGCCGCGAGCGCAGGGCCTCACGAGCAGGTCAAACAGATCACAAGCGGGGTGCGTGGGCGATAGGTCTCCGATGTTGGGGCGGAGCTATAGCTCCTGATCATGAAGATATACCAGGACCCTCCAGTCGGGGTGCCCTGTCTGGAAGCCGAACGGCCGGTAGTGTGGGGTAGTCCAGCCAGGACACCCCAACAGGAGGGTCCTGGTATATGAGCTCCTTTGTAATAGCTCCAGGGTGGCCAACAAACATAGAGGCCCGTGCACCCCATCAAACCGGTCAGTCCTTCACCACAGGTCAGTCCTACATCAAAAGACCCTGTAAAGCCAGCGGCCCTAAGCCAAATCGAGTTGGCCCAAAGAAGGACCACCATGTCTGGGTCACCAATGAAGCAAAGCTGCTAGGTAGATCGGACCCTTTTGGGTGAGCGAGCGATGCCGAGGTCAAACCCTCTCCCAGTGACACCTTCATGGCCACACATGTTGGGTGACAGCACCTGACACTACCTGGAACACCCAATTGTGACGAAGTGTGATTTGTTATGGCCCATTATGTTCCAAAGCTCCAGGCTGTGGTGCTTTGGATTCTGCAGCCTTTTTTGTGACACGTGCAAGGAAAAGGGACCCCCTTCTCTACGCAAGAGCGACTTGCTGGCTAGTTAGGGAGAGTGCAATGCCATGATGAGAATCACCCCCTCAAAATCTTATCCATTGGAATAACCCTTCCCGGTCATGGAACGGTAAACCGCCTGCGATAAAAGGTTCCATCGAACAACAAACGTTATGAAGCCCCTTCTCCAATTTAAACAAACATCACCAACTATTGAACCCCAAAGTCCTACTAAGCAACTAGCGCTCCAAAAACTGCTGACCAAACTGCTGACGCTCCAAAATGATTCACTAGTTCTGCCCTCTTTCCATAACCAAAACCAGAACCGGCAGGAACCATCGCATCACACCCTCCGACCGTCGTCGTCGCAGTCGTTGCTCCGCCTCGATGATTTGTCTCCTGCGTTGGGAGGCCGCCTGGTCCAACGCAGCCGTCGGCCGCGGTCGGCGAAGCGTCGGCTCGCTGCACGAAAGAGCGCGATCCGAAAAGCCGAGTCCGAAGCTACAGCACCACCCGGTCACGAGCCACGACTCCTCCTTTAAAAAACGGTCACTAAGTATAGCTGCAAAAACGGGTCAGGCTATGTCAGCCTTCTGCAGGTTCAGCAGCAAACAGCAAAAAAAACAGAAGCAACAACAACAACAACAAAATAAAACAGAAGCAACAACAACAACAACAACAACGGCACTCAAGGTTCTCGTCAAGCATTTTTTTAAAATCTTTTTTGGGGTTCGATCTGGTTCGATGCTTTGCGTCGCCGCTTCTCCGGCGGAGGTACAGCCGGTGCGGCCGGTTTTGGGTGCGCGCGGTGGGGGTCGATGATTCCCGGCGGTGCGTCGCCCAGGAAGACCGGACGTGAAAGATTCAGAGAAGGGAAAAAACACTCCCAGTGAGACCTCCCTCAGTTTCCCTCGACCCAAAAAACGGGAGGATCTGTTTCATTCTTTTTCCATTGGTTAACCTTAACCTCTATTTTGGGGTTTGCAGGTGATCCACGTACGTCCTGGGTATAGGTGTGGCCCTGAGAGTTGTACTCCAACAACGACAGCCTCATATTGGATCGGACCTGCAGTGGTTGCTGCTTGCAGCACCCCTCCGACCTCCGTCCCCAGAGCAATCCAGTTTCTTGGGACACTGCGCCAAGCGCACGCTCCGCGCGGCATGCGGTGAGACGAGGGAAGGGAATGACTGGCTGGCTGCGAAGCTACTCAGTGGCCTGACTGTCCATGTTGCAGCCCTCGCACTGCTGCATGAGATTAAAAGAACTACACCCAAAACACATGACAAAGCACGGCATGTTTAAACTTGCCACATACAATGCGATGCAAATCCGTCCACATCGCCTGGAATAACACTGTCATCTAGCTGGATGGATCATGCGTTGAATGACATGAGAACCCCTTCAGCTCGCAAATGTGAGCACCAAGTCGAAGACTCCTCCAACTGCCCGGCTGGACATCTGATGCCAGGCACATATTCCCCAGAAGGGGATTCACCCATCGGGAAAATCAACATCACCCTAAGCAAAACCAGGAAACTGATGAGAAATCCTTGAAGATTCCAATTTGGCGGATGATACTCTTCGGTTTTAGGCAGGCAAAGTTGTATATAGTATGTGTCGAGTTGCACCAGTGGCTTCGACCTGCTTGAATCAACCGATGATCCCAAACAAGGTCCTTTCAAACATGTATGTGGAAACAGTGGCCTTTTCTAGCTCCCCCCCAAGAAGGGGTGTGTGGAGTGCTTCCTGTATATATCTGATGCAGGAACCAACAAGGTCATCCCGGAGTCATCGGACGCCGGATGCCGGAACCAAACTCGTTCGCCCAAGACAGGGTTGGCAAATTTCTGCGAAAAAGTGAACACGTTGTCTTCTGCCAGAATGATCCGGTACAGTGGTTTCAGAGTAGATGGCACTGACCTCAAAATGTCCTTTACATGGGGGTTCATATAAACCACCTCTTGGGGTCTGTGCCATCTACTCTCAATCCACTAAGGAGTACCGTGTCATGTCTTCCAGTGTCTCCTGCACCTCAGCAGCATGCAAAGTTCTGCTTGCGACTGGCCTGACACAGCGGGTGCGCGTTCCAGGTGCTCAGAAAGGTCCCAAGAAACACCAAATCCCTTGGTACCCTCCCGTGAGGTACACTCCGACTCACTGACCTAGAACATGGAAGAGCTAGGCCACCAGGAAGACCATGCTCCTCTACCAACAGGTGGTTTTCTACGGCTTTCCACTTCCATGGAACGTGAGTCAGACACTGCCAAAGTCAAAGTCTAGTCGATATAGTTTATCAACGCCTTTGAGTCAAACAGTGTGAGGGAGGATTGTGATGTCCAAACACTGCCAGGTAGGAGCCCTGAGCAGTTGTGCAATGGGACTTGGTAGTGCCCCACTTGTGAACTGAAGGTAGGAGGCATGACAAATATTGGACATTGGTCAGTTCCTCAGGAAATAGAAGCAAAGCTGTGGAAACACGGCAAACCTCCACAAGCTCATCGAAGTTGAGGACCCCCCCACAGTCACCGACGAATCTAGCATGTGGGCAATGCATCGTAAGCACACCCTCACGGTGTGGCTCACGCCGGTGTCCTCCAAAAATCAATCCAACCATGGTCAATCAACACTTCCATGGCAAAACATCGGAAGAAACAAATGCCCAAAGACTCCCATAATACTTCATGGGACTAGCATCATTGACCTCGCAAAAGTGCTTGATTCATAAGACACCCCCAGACATGGATGTAAAAAATGCCTCTTCCTATGGGAGGTTGAAATAGAGTCAAGAGATGTCAAGAGTCTACCCTAAGATGTCAAGAGCCTACCCTGCAATTCCAACCGTCATGGTCTTAATGGTCCAAACACCATTGCCTTAATGGTTCTACTAAAGGGTTTTAGAATGCTTTAGGCTACAATACCAGCCAGGAGTCACAAGACGGGGTGGTGTTTGGTCCCATCCAGTGAGTGGATGTGACAGGGGCACCCCGACTACCTC